AGAGAGGGTGACAGGTGGTACTTGCCTGAAGAGGGACTACAATAGTCATTAAGTGATCAAAATAGGCATCCACAGCTTCGGTGAAGCCCTTGTAGGTTGTCCTCAACTGCATTTCTGGGTCTTGCAGTAGCCAACTGTGAGAAAAGCAGCAAATGGAAATGTGTTAAGAGTGGAATTCAATATTCAGTCATCTCTGGCCTTACTGATGACATATTCATTGCTCATACTATAATGTAGGGCTAACTACCACTTCTTAGCAGGAGTAGCTGTACTATCATCTTCAAGTTCCTGACAAACCTTTACAGCTCTGAGACATGAGAAAATGGTAACAATTATGAGAAATAATCCCCATATTTTATCTGAGTCAGGTGTCTCCTCTGAGGCTCATGCTGTGAAGGTAAAGAAAACAGGTGATATGAAATGTGGCACTGGTTGCACTGGGATCTAGTAACCAGACAAGTCTCTGTGGATGTTTTCAGCTCAATTCCCAAAGTCTCTTACCAACAAGCTGTGTCCTTTAGGAGAAAACACAGGAGTTTAGAAAAGTTATGGGCCTTTATTACTGCTAGCTCTCCATACGCATGTTCTGGCAAGACTTTTGAAATGAACCCAAAGCATAGCAAATACTTAAGCCAAGCTGCAATATTACTATTCATATTTTAAAGACAGTCAAGTTGCAAAGATAATTGAAGGTGGGTTTCCCAATTCCATTTTCTTGCCATAACTTTTATGCCATAAGAAAATTATTGTTTTAAAAAACAACTGCTCAAAAAATATCCTGGTTCCAAGCCTACTAGCTCCACTGCTTAGGAAATAACAAAATGGATATTCATCTGCTTTGGGGACAGAGAAAATCAACTCTTCCCACAACAGACACCCATTCTGAATCTCTGGAGGGGGCTCAACTGTAGGATCAGGGGCTGTCCTACCAGACTTGCCTCTACTGTTTGCACACTTACCTGGGCAGGCCGCCAAGGTCCCATTCAGAGCAGATATAAGGTCCAGGGCGCAGAATCACCCACAGTCCAATTTTAGCTGCCAGTGACAGGAAGGCCCTAGAGATCCAGACAACACAATTACTGACTGAAGAACCCACACTCCATGCACTCCTAATATACCTAACACTGTGGAACCTTAGGTACCAGAAGCAGCAGAAAAGTGCTTGATAAAGCAGCTATACTGGATTGATACTAAACCTTTTCATTCCCAGGACTCCAGAAAGCAAGGGAAGAAGAGTCTCCATTGCCAAAGGCAGCAGCCTAGCTTCAGAAGCACTCCTTGACCTTGAGCCACCACATACACCCTCCCCTCAGAGCAGGAGCATTCAACCACAGAACTGTGTGCACCACGTACTCTAGATCCAGGTTTCGGCTGAAGTCGAACTTCCCTCTTGCTGGTTCATGAAGGTTCCATGGCACATACCTGAAATGCAGAATTAGGGCAGTGGAGATACAGTGCCAAAAGGACGCTGCATTTGCTCAGCAAAGAAAAAACTGTGCATATACTTTGTTAGTCAAATACGGATGCAGAGCTGATTGCGTATAGATATTACAAGTGCTCCAAGATACTGTTATGGCCCACTGAAGTTAATGGCAA